ATTTAAGTATATATAATAAGGAATGTCAGAATGCAAACACAAAAGTTTTAGTAGATAATAAGTTTGTTCCTTGTACTACACGTAGTGGCAGAGTTGTAAAGCCACCTGTGCGTTTTTTGTAAGCTAGGTCTTAAGCAAATTTAATTAAATGTAACTCTGCAAATTTGGCTAAAGGTTAACTTATAATGTAGAATAAATTTATGTACAATTTCAACCGATGTACACTTCTTTTACGTAAAATAACTTTCGAAATTATTTTATGGCTATCCTTATAAACATGGGCAAGCAACAGTCAGAGAACGCAGAAGTAATGATAGCTCAGAACGGGGCTGACAACCAAGCGCAAGCTGAATTATAAAGAAAGTTAGAATGCTACAGCGTCGTCACGATGATTGTGGTAATAGTGATATGTGTAACATCTCTTTACATTATTTGTCGGAAAGCCGGAAAGAAAATAAAACGTAAAGTGATCGAACAAGTTATTTCGAGTATCGAGCAAGGACGCGGGACGCAGCTAGCTCAAACAGCAGCTAGTCCAAACGCCCAATCAGTATGAGTGCATTATTAAATAGCAATGTTAAAATAAAATTTAAAACCATATAATCTGTTTAGCATTCTTGAGTACTTAGTATATTTATAAAATTAAACTATGTATTACATGTTTATATACTTAAATCTTTTGTAATAAAAGGGTTTCACAGTGGACTTAAAATGTAGTGTAAGGAATTAGAGATAAGTAATTATTTAAATGTAGAGAGTTAGTTAAGACCATGAATTTTGTAATTTTACTCTTAAGACTAACATATATAGCTCTAATTAAGTTAATCCGACCCATAAGAGAGTCACTTTGTATTTAATAGTATAGTGCAAAACACCAATGTAAATACATTAGTTCAGTGTTTCACCGTATTGTTTTCATTGGAAGCAGGTAGGTCGAGCGATCGAGTAGCAGGAGAGAGAGAGAGAGAGAGAGAGAGACAGACAGAGCGACGCGTTATCGCATTGTTCGCTTGCAACTTAATATGCTCTGTGCACACTCTGTTTAGTTTTAGTTAGAAATAAGCCTCAACCGATCTAGATGAAACATTTAACTTTTTGCTAAATGATGTATTAAATTCATATATTTCATTTTTTTAAAAGGGGGAGTACTGTGGGTGCTGCTGACCACAGCACACACAGGCGTCACTCGTGTCAGTGTATGTGTAATTCTTGCGAAATATGATAAAGACCGCCGCCGGCGGGACGTCAGCCTGTAAGCGAGTAGTGACACAGTTCCTTTGGAGTGTATCACTACTAAGCAAGCACGCGTCTCGGGTTCGACAAAATAAATTTACTTCAACCAGTTATGTGAACAATATAATCATTTTCCCTCTACACATGCCTTTATGACACGCCATAATCCCAAGTACACAACAGTACTATAAAAATAGTATAGCCGCAGCGTGACTCTACCACGTATAAAATGTTGAATATAGACTAGAAATAAAACTCGTTTGTTTTATAATAAGGCGTTATCATTGAAAAATTATAAGGTAAGACCTAATAATACCGATTGGAAAAACACAATATTTTCAACTTGATATTTCCAATATCGACAGAAGACAAGTGGCTAATGTATCTTTATAGAGCATCAGATAGACACGAGTCACGCGAAAGGGGACTTAATGCTAGCTCTAGCCTCAGCAATGTTATTACACCGTGTTCGATTTGTTGAACAAATATGGAAAAGTAAAACCATTTTATCTGATTCCTTTATCATTTTATATAATACATAGCCTAATCTACCGCAATAAATTTCGCAGTACGTAGACAACCCAGGTTTAATACCCGCCAGCATATACGAAATTGTATCTTTAAAGTTGTTTTACTTTATGTGATGATTGACGCTGAAAGCGTCGTAAGAAACGCGGCATGTCTGAGAAATTGAAAAAAAAAATCTAAAAGTATGAACTCAAAACCTTCTTCAAGATGCGAGGAGGTCTGTACCCAGCCGTGGCTGGTATATAGGCTGTAACTATTGTGGTTGATGGACTAGAGTGGCGGGAGATGAAACGTTTTGAAGAAAACCTAAACAGTACAATATTCAGTATTTAGTCAAAGTACTTTTACTAGATAGTAAATTTATTTTTATGCCTAGACTCTGTCTTATTTTATAACGTAATAAATACATATATATTATCACAGTTTCAGAGCGAAATTAGAACGAATTACACTTTGCAGATATCCACTCCGTACAAATTGAACGCTGCAATGTCACCGCAACACTTGTCAGGCAAGTAAAGTATGTGGTTGACCCGGTTGACCATCTAATCGATGTTAGCCACAATAATCAAACATTCGGTTTATATTCGAAATAGATCTATTTTAGCCGACTTTAAACAAATGGAGGTTTTCAATTTATCTGTATTTTTATTGTGTATATTCCGTGAAATTTTCGCTAATCCGCTATAAAGAGAAAATTATAAGCCATGCTGATTTGAAACTGTTTCCATATTGATAATTTCTAGACCTTCTATTTCTATTTAAAGATCTTAATAATAAGGGTTAAAATTTGTTTTAATAATAAATATAAAAGAAAAGAAGATATAGCAAAATTCTAACAAATTTTTTTTACGTGGTAGAGCCATGCTGCAGCTATATTAGTAGTATAGTAGTAGCACGAACGGCTCGACCGGGGAAGGACCACGCTCTCACAAAATACCAGCGTAAAATATCAGCTTAATGCTGTTGTGTTTCGTATGGTGAGTGTAGAGAACCAGAGACTCTTTTTACTGGAAAAGAGGCATGCTATCTTATTCCTCACGGGTGATAACGCATCTGCATTTGATTCGCAAACGTGGATAAATATATATCGGAAATAACAAACAGGGGAACCCACTTTTGATATCGGAGATGTTCAAACAGAGGATTTCAATTGTGGTCTCGGAAATACATCAGGATAGCGTTAATTGTTAAAAATAATAAAAGTGTGAGAGCGGATGTTCAACTTGCTCTCTTGCTTACGCAGTTTAATCATTATCAGTAATAAGACAACGTAACGCACTACACATTCAGTATAGTGAAATTACAATTCGACTACACCGTAACACGTCTCCACCACAATCACACACCAGTGTAACGTGAGGTACGTACTTGCATGAATACACCAAAACATGCAAACCAACAGCAACACTACTTATCTCAATGTGACACAGGGCAGCCTCTCAGCAACACCAATCCTCCTTGCCTGCACTAGAAGAATTACAACAACGAACAGAACCACGACACTATCTTAGCACTAGTAAAATGACCACACTCGTTGAATGACTTAAGCGGAATCTCCCGCGCACGTCACCTACAGTGAACTTTATACTGCACAAACAAGTGGGAGTTTCTCGATATACCCTCATTCTACCTCGATTCAACCGGGTATTTTATAGATGCTCCGACATATAGATGTCTAAGGGCCACAGCAACCACTTACCATCAGGTGGGCTGTGTGCTCATTTGTCACCCTATCCTATAATAAAAAAATTGACTACGCTCTCCAGAATGTCAACGTAAAATAGCAGCTTAGCTGCTATGTGTTTTATGATGATTGTAAAGAAGGGGATATTTTGTTTACTAGTAGCGAAGCATTCCAACTAAGTCTTCAGGGGTGGCAACGCATTTACACTTTAATTCTTAGTCGAAGATAGATGTTGATTTCTCTAAGTCACAACTCTCGTTTACCATCAGGTGGTCGGTGATTTCTTATCTCATCCTTATTGTATAAAAATTACAAAACCTTGTGTGAGCATTTTAACCATATTTATCGCTAAACAATGCTTTAATTATGTATATCTTAACTATAGCTAATTAAAAGATTATAATTCACTGATATTTTATAAGAAAAATATCTAATAATTATATGTGTTTTTATAATATGTATCTGTCTTTTTTTATTATCATTTTGTGAAGATAGCGACATAAATTGATCTTTTTTTTATAGAATAAGGTTGACAAATGAGTACACAGTCCTCCTGATGATAAGTGGTTATGGTGGCCCATAGACATCGCGACATCTTTTCTCGAGTACGAACCAAAATGCGAATACGTTGTCACCCGTGAGGATTGATGGAATGCCTCGTTTCCAGTGAAAAGAGTCTCCGGTTCTATACACTCACCATACGAAACACAGTAGTGTTACGCTGCTATTTTACGCTGGTATTAATTTATTTTATTCACAGTAAACCATGCACTGACAATAGTTTTGCTACTAGATAATGTCTAAGAGAATGTCTATTTTTAGAGCCAACATGTATTGATGAATCTAGTGCAACATCTTCTTCTTCTTTTCCCTGGCTATTGTCCCAATTTAATTGGGGTCAGCCCTCCTAGTAATCTTGCGCCACATCGTGCGATTGTGGGTAGTCGTTTCTGGCATGTTAGTAGATTTCAGGTCGTTTTTTATTGTTTGCAGCCAGGTTATTGGTGGTCGTCCACGGCCTTTCTTCCCCTCTTCTATGTTCATAACTTTTTAAGTAACATGGCTATCATCTCGTCTCATCACGTGTCCGTACCAACGCATACGGTTTTCTCTAAGCTTCTCGTGCACCATAGCAACCTTGAAACTACCACGGATATAACAGTTTCTTATTCCATCCATTTTAGAAACTCCTCCTGACCAACGTAACATTTTCATTTCAGTGACGTGAAGTTTTTGTTCGTCCGTCTTTCTCATCGGCCAGCACTCCGATCCATATAGCAGAGCTGGTCTTACTGCTCTTTTGTATATATTGCCCTTTATTTTAATAGGCATACGGGAGTCGCATAGTATACCAGACAGCGATCTCCATTTTAACCAAGCTGTTTGGGTTCTGTTTTGTATATCTCTTTCTGTACATGCCTTTGGTGCTACAATGGATCCGAGATACTTAAACTCTTGAACTCTTTTAAGAGGTCGACCTTCGATAGATGGACATGGAATAACATCCATTTTGGCACCAGAAAAGTTACAGTACATGTATACAGTCTTCTCTCTATTCACTCTCATCCCTCTTCTTTCTAAGGACTCCTGCCATAAGTGTCAGGTCTGATTGTACTTCTGTCAACGATTCGGCTATGAGTACTACATCATCAGCGTATAGAAGTGACCACGGTGCTGATTTCTGAATGTCCATAGTGATATAGTCCATTACTAGGTTGAATAGGAGAGGGCTAACGGTTGAGCCCTGGTGAACCCCCACTCCGACTTCAAATGGTTCACTTTTCCCTGCTGGGCCGACCACTTTTGTTGTTACGTCGTGGTACAGATCTTTGAGGAGCTCAATATAATGTTCCTGCACCAACTGCGCTCTTAGTGCTTGCCAGATTAGCTCTCTAGGAACTCGGTCAAACGCCTTTTCGAGATCAATGAAAATAAGGTGAAGATCTTGTTTGCGTGACTTGTACTTTTCCATGAGTATTTTCACTGAGTGAATTGCATCTATAGTGCCCACTCCACTAGTGAATCCACACTGGTTTGGTGTAATTTTTGTAATTTTTGATAGTCTTTTTACGAGGACACATTCCCAGATCTTAAGGGTCTGAGAAGTTAGTTTGATTGCTCTATAATTTCCACAGTCCGCGACATCCCCTTTATTCTTGTAGAAGGGTATCAAATTGTTGTTTCTCCACATATCTGGTATTTTGGTGCTTATAAGAATTATGTTAAATAGGTTTGTCAGCTATGCTACGCCAGTATTGCCCACCTTTTTCCATAGTTCAGCTGGAATCTCATCCGGTCCGGCTGCTCTCCTATTTTTCATTTTTTGGATGGCTGCTTTTACTTCCTGAGGTGAAATTACTTCAACTGGTCCTTCCGTGGGTCTGAGGAGTGTGAGTGGTCCCTGGGGAATTATTCGTTCAATAGTGTTTGGTAGTATTCTCGCCACCTATGATTAATTTCTTTGTCTGTGGTTAACAATTTACCCGATGAGTCCTTGATATATTTGTTGCGTTTGAAATCTTTTGTTTGGTTATTTCGGCGTTTTGCTAATTTAAATATTTCCGTCTCAGATTTTGCGTTTTCTAATTCTTTGTAAAAGTGATCTTTGGATAATGCTCTTGTTACTGCAACACATTTTTTAGCTCTCTTTTTTATTATATTGTAGTCCAGTCGATCGCTGTCATTTTTTGATTGTTGCCATTTCTTAAAAGATTCTTTCTTTTCCAACAACATCAATTTAACATTTCATCCCACCAGGTAGGATCTTTATTAATCCTCAATTTTCCTTTCGTAATACCTAGGGTTGTTCTGGCGGTTTTTAGGCAGAACATGTGAAATTCGTTCCATAGAGTGTTGGTATCTTTTGTGTGTAGAAGTGTCTCTTTCAAGTATGTATCAACCTGTGCAGTAAATATAGTGCCCTCAGCGTTGTGTATGTTATACCATTTTATGCGGGGTTCATGTTGTTGATATTTCTCTTTTACATTCCAGTTTGGCATTTTCAAACAGGTTACAAGTAGTCTGTGTTGGGTTGTTAGTGGGATCCCTGGTATAACTTTGCAGTCCTTGAAATTGCGAAGAATAGATCTGTCACAGAGAAAAAAGTCTATTTGTGAGGTCGATCCACCACTTTTGTAGGTTATGAGGTGTTCATCTTTTTTTTGGAAGTAAGTGTTAACGATCGGGAGATCAAATTGGGTCGCTAAATCTATTATATCCTGACCTTGGCTATTAGAGATGCCATATCCAAAATTTCCATGTATGTTTGAGTTTTCAGGTGCTTTCATACCTACATGGCCATTCAAATCCCCTGCTATAATTTTTTTCTCGTCTGAAGGTATGGTTACGAAGAGGTCTTCTAAGTTTCCCCAGAACAGATCTTTTTCTTCATTACTACATCCAACTTGAGGGGCATATACTGAGATTATGTTTAGCGTTAATAAGTTGTCCAGAGCTAATTTAACGTACATGATTCTATCGCTTATTCTTTCTACTTTGATTATTCGTTGTTGCAGTATTTCGTCGAGTATGATGCCGATTCCGTTCCTTGTCGTTGATGTGCCGTTATACAGTAGTTGATAGTTTCTACCAATATCCCTGGATTTTGACCCTTTCCATTTAAGTTCTTGTATACAGCAGATATTAATATTTCGTGCATGCAATATGTTTGATAGTTCTTGGCTACGTCCAGTCAGGGAACCGAAGTTCCATGTAGCTATACGCAAATTATTTGCGCTGCGTCTTTTTTCGTCGCTTACAGGGGACGCCTTAGCATTTTTCGCTTGGGATCGTATCTGGTCGTCGCTTGAGGGGTACGCCCTAGCCCTTATACTTTCTCTTTTATGTTGTGCTTTCATACTAGGAGAATGTTTTGTTTTGGCATTGTATTTTTACAGCCGGTTGCCACCTGACGCCAAGACTGTCACCCCCTTCCAGGGTGAGGGCGCCGCCTTTGACTCGTCATGAGCTCCTCCGCCGCCGTCCCTTCTGTAGTGCTCCAGCCTAAGCACTCAGCACTGCTGACGACCTTAACTCCAAATATGTTAAAGCAGCTTGTAGCAGGGGTTTGATAACGGAGTTTCCTTCTCCGGCCTGTTGGTCCGCGGGAGGTATTTTATTTCCCTCCTACCCGGCTGTGTCGCCGAGCGTTCCCCTATCCGCCGCCTGGGGACGCGCTCTCTAGGTGTGAGGCTCACCCGAGAGAGAATCTAGTGCAACATGTATAAATAAAATTTTAACATATGTTAATTTGTTGCTTAAATGCATACTTAAAAATTGAGTTCCGATCACAGTGGTCAATGAGTTTCGTTGCCTTAGGTTAAAAAAACCAAGTAGATAAGAAATTTGTGTTTACACTCTTATTGGACAGTTTCAAGACATTCAATGATTTTACGTCAGCAGAATTCTATAAGAGAAGTCAAAGGTTATATGGTATATACTTGATAGTGTGTGTCTTGAAGTGAATTCTTTGACCCATAGACATCAACATCTATCCTCTATTCATATCAAAATGCGGACACGTTAACAATCCTCAGGGATGAGGACTAAGATGGACTGCCTTGTTTCCAGTCAAAATGGGTCTCTGGTTCTAAACTTTTTATTTTTTATATTATATTATGCTGCTATTTTACGCTGGAATTCTGTGAGAGCGTGTTCTTTCCCCGGTCAAGCCAACTCATTTGTGCTACAACTATAATATAGCTGCAGCTTGGCTCTACAACGTCAATAAATAATTTAAAATTAAAAATCTTATACAACCAACTTCAATCTTAATTATTAAGAATAACTCAAAACGGTAAGTCAGGCCGTAATCAAATTTCTACGAGACGACGAAAGAAACACCAGCTTTCAAATAAAATAATTATCGAAATTGGTTCACCCAGAAAAAAATTATGAAGTAACACGCATAAAAAACATACAGTCGAATTGAGTACCGTCTCCTTTTAGAAGTCGGTAGAAAATATTCTAAAATATTTAAAAGCGTGTGTTCTCAGTCAGTTTAAGCAACAAAACTAAAGCAGCTTTTAATAAAATCAAAATAACTTCCAGTATAATTAATGATGAAACTGGTAAGCTCAAGTCTCGTAATTCAAACTACCAATTTAATTTTAACAATTTTAAAAAGAAAACCGCAAAAGTTTGGGGGATACCCGTTAAAGTCGTCGTTAAAGCGTCTATAATAGACACGATTACACGTCAAGTAGCTTTTATTTTTAATACTTTTATCTAACCTGGTGTATTTCCTGATTTAATGAAACATAGTTAAGTAATACCTTCATTTAAATCAGGATACTATAATATCATGGTGTAAGAAGTGGTGAACTTAAAATTATTATTTAATAATTTAGAACGCAAAAAATGTAAACAGTATGATTTCCTTCCAGTCGATAGTACACATGCGCGTACCTCAAGGTTCGATTCTCAGCCCCTTCCTTTCTTTAGTCAATATTTATAACTTACCGTACGATAGAGAATTTTCAATGAAAATTTAGAATTTTCAAAATGGGGGAACCATTTTCAAACTGTTTCGAAAATTAATAAAATATGGCCAAGTATATAATGCTATATATAAATTATTAAATTGGTTCAAAGTTTATTATTTCAATTAAAATGAAACTAAAACTAAATGTATGAAATTCTTTACCGCATATATAAAACATCAAAATATTAATGTAGTTTTAAATGGCTTTGCGTTTAGTCGATATCACCAAAAACTTAAAAACAAATTATCTAAACTAGCAATCAGACATAGTTCTGCAGCGAATGCTCTAAAAAAGATTAGAAATTTTACCAGTGTTGAAAGAGCTGCACTAGTTTATATTTGCTATTTTCATAACATAATGTAGTATTTTGATATGGGAACATGAGACTGACCTTGAAATTATATTTGTATTGCAGAAGTGGGCCATAAGAGCAATCTATGATTTAAGTCCGAAAGCCAAATATTTAAGAAAATTAATATATTTATTCACCATACGAAACACAATAGCAAAGAAGTAAACTTACAGCCTATACACTTCTACGTGCCACTCCCAACAGTGTTAACTTCTCTCATTTTTCGGAGGATTATGAAGCAATCAGTCCAGTCAAGTAATTGGTCAAGTGCGTGTTGACGAATTTCACATATCTTTAAAATAGTTTAATTCATTAGATATGCAGGTTTTCTCGCGATTCTTTCCCCCCACCACCAAACAAGTAGTAAATTATTATATATAATTATTATATTAAAATTGCAACTAACCTTCATTGGTGCCAGCGAAGATCAAATCCAGGTTGCTTTCGAACTGTATAACTTACGGCGAACGCTAAGTCATTGAGTTACCACTGTTCATGTTTGTTTGTACCGTCTTATCTATACAAAAAAATAAAATTTTAATATCTGTCTGTAATAATGGATAACTAGCTTCTATTAAACTCAGAGGGTTATTTACATTTACAGATGTAAAGCAATCGTTGACAACGGATATTTATCCGAAGCAGCCGATACGCAACCTTTGACAACCGGTTTTTTATCTAACTGCAGACGAAAACGGATGGTTGTGATTTTACTGTTTGTACGGGTGGCTAAGCTGAATCGCTATTTGCAATGATGTTTAAAAGTACTTTACTGACTGATTTAAAAAATCTTTCACCGTTAGAATTATATTATGACTGTGAAACGTAGGATGCATTTTATTACATAGAGCGCTACTATCTACGAGTACGAATATGATTTTTAGGCTAAACTCGTAAACTCCTTGACCAGTTTTGAGAATTCTTTAACTTCTAGAATGCTATGTATAATTCACCATGAGTATGATATTATGACTGTGAAACATATCTTCAGTCATCGCTTGTGAGTCGTTGTGTGAATACGCGTTAGAAATGTCTAGTCCGGTGAAGTCAACAACCTCCGCCGTGTTGAAGTGTGCTAGTTGCAATATAGTAATTAACGAAATATTAGCGTTTATCCAAAACAAATGTGATGTGAAGGACGAGGAAGGAATAATTCGACTGTGTTCTTCAGTGTTCAAACCAGAGGAAATATGTACAGCAAAATATCTTCTTTACAATTGCCTCAAAACGAAGAAGAAAATTGTTACTCGCAAGCGAGAAGGCAAAACTTTACGTGAGTTAGAAGATATAATTACTACAATAAAAGAGGTCGATCCAGAGGACCTGCCAATTTTTGTTGCTCGTGATCTGCAGAAA